AGCCCGTCATAACTACCTCTTTTCTTTCAATTTTTTCTACCTAGATCTTGGCAGAAAGACTAAACTATAATCTATTTACAATGAAAAAAAACTAAAAAAATATATATAGAAAGAGTGTGGGAGGAAAAAATATAAGTAGAAGAAAAAAAAGAAGGAAAAGAGCGTACTAGACAAAAAAAAAATTTAAAAGATAAAGATAGAAAAAAACAAAAAAAAGAAGTTATAGTCATGACATATATATAAAAAAAGTACACTATTATAACCTGTGCGAGGGTAAAAAATTATATACTAATTGCAACATTTAATATATCTTTATTGTCCTTAATGTTAGTATTTTCTTTCCATAATGTATATTAAACTTTGGGTATTTCTAAATCAGGATACTAATCCTTGCCATATGATATAGCACTGTATTGATATAAACAAATACGTAGTTGCATTCTACTGAGTTTAACCAAATTTGGTAAGTATAAACAATGCTAATCTTTTGGAGAGGGTAAGCTGTTTTTTCTACTTTTTGTTAAAAATTTTTGTAAAATTAGTGAGGAAGCAGAAGGAAGAAAAAGCACTTGTATTATTTTAAAGAATATAGATTTTTCTTTACTAAGAGTAATAGCAATCTATAGCCTCTATTAAAACTCCTATTAGAGCAGACATACAAATACTTGTTTTTTGATAAGTAATAAACTCTAAACTTGTTAGCAAATAACAGTGTTGTATACGGAACAGCTGGGACAAATCTGGGACAAATTTGGAACAAATTTGAAGTTTTAAAAAAATAGCAATAACTCAAAATTTTATTAAGACAATTTTCTTTCAATTCTTAAGTAAAGTTGTTGAAAATTTAATTTTACACATATTTTATTATTACTCTAATATAACTTTTCAAATTAAAAATTGAGAAATTGATGGGACAAAGTTGGAACGTTCTGGGACGTCCTGGGACGGGACAAGGTCAAAAAGGTCCGGGACAGTCAAAATGTACAACACTGGCAAATAGCGTATAAGAACTATTTCTAAATAACAAGTGCTGTACCTATAGTAAGTGATAAACTCTAAGACTATTAGCAGGTAGTGTATGAGAACTACTTCAAAATAATAGTTGCTGTCTTATAGTTTTTCTTTGACTTATAATGATACTACTATACATACTTGTATTTTTTAGTAATAGAGTTTTTTAGAAAATTTTAGTACAAGTAATTGTCAGAAAGAGTTGTATATACTAGATTTCTACCAAATTTTTATTATCTATATAAGATCTTAATATGCTATATATACAGTATTATATAAAAATTAATTTATATATACTCTACCTTTAAATAAATAGTTTTTTAGTTAGACTATAAGTATAGTAGCTAGTGTGAAATTTTAAAATAAACTATTTAAATTAAACAACCAAAAGTTATATATATAGCTAGTTGTACTTTTATTACTAAAATTATAACTTATTTGCAAATCTAATAATAAATTACTAACTAAGAAATTAAAATATTACTATATAATATAAATTATATTATATAGTGATATTTTATTTAAATTAGATTATATAATTTATATAGTTTGTTTTTAGATTTTATACTAGAAACTATATTTGTAATTTACTAAAAGATATCTATTTAAACCTTTTAATTTTATATTTGTATTATAATATTTATATTTAATTATTTTATTTAAAAACCTAAAATTGGTAGATGAGATGACTAATATGATATACAATATAGAGTGGAAGTTTTTTATAGAAAAAGAAAGTAATCTTGAAAGTAGCAAACTAGCAAAAGACTATGAGTGAAGAGAAACATGGGGTTTAATAAATAAAGTAAAAGGCCAGAGATATATAAGTACAAAGCAAAACAGTATATAGACCTTTTGAATTAAAGCTCTAAATCAAATGCTATTTACACTAACATAGCTACATACTAGAAATCTAGAAGTCTATAAAAGTAATATCTATATAGTATATCTAAAGAGCTAGAAATACAAGACCACTTTGCAACATGTAAAATATATGAAAGACTCTAAAAAAAGCTTAAAAAAGAGGTGATGAAGGAATTTCAAAATACAAAAAAAAAGAAAAAGGCCAAAAAAAACTCTCCAAATTTGACAGAATACCTACCAGACCTTATAAAAATCTTTTTTAGTATAGAAAAGAAAATGAAGCTAAAAAAAAAAAAAGATTTATTTAAGGGATAATAAACAAAAGTAAGAGTAAGAAAAAAAGAATCAATCTAAGAAAACTGCTCCAAATTTTTTACAAGAAGTTTTACAAATAAATCTGGAAGTTTTAATATAAAGCTATTATAGAATGAGAAGAAAGGCAAAAAATTATCTGCAAAAGAAAAAGGAAATATAAGAAGAACTAAGAGAGAAGGTCAAAAAAAAGAAACAGAATTTAGATAAGCCAGGCAAAAAGGAGCTTATAGCATCAGGAATTAGGCAAGAAGTAAAGAAAGAATCATATAAAGAAAAAGTATAAAAAGTATATAATGAAACAAAGATATACATAGTAAACCTTATCAAAAGAGCAATTAGACTTCTCTAGATATCTCTGACAAGATCAAGTAAAAGTGAATAATAGTAATCTTGACAAGCTAACAATAGGCTTTTGTTGATCTTGCAGATAAACTCTAGTAAGTTAGAGCTCAGTAGGAAAGAGAACATGTTGTTAAAGCAGATTATACTTAGATGCTTATGATAACCGAGTAAGTTTTTATTGTGTAAGAGGTAGTAATAACTAGAAGTAATTTTAGTACAGTCAACTCTCTTTAAACTGAACAGCAGGTTCTTATATGTAAAAATATTTAAAAGTTCAGTTTACAAAGAGTTATTATGTTGCTAATCCGAACTTAATAATAAATTTTACAAATATTCTGAAGCTTTATGTTCAGTTTTCACAGAGTTTATTAAGTGTTCGGTTTATCCAGGTTCAGTTTAAAGAGAGTTGACTATATACAAATATATATATAAATGTAGTATCTCTCAAATAATAAAAGCAAGATTATCAAAAAAATAAAAATAAAAATAAAAACCTAAGATTTTAATCTTTAGTACTTAGTTCTTTTTTTAGAACTAGAAGGGTATTTTATCTCTATACTAAACTTGCTAAAGCAGTATATATTCTATATATATATTTACTTTGACTTCAGTAATCTATATTATAACTTTATTTGTATACTTAGAAGTTATTTACTTCTATTTCTTAATATGTAGACCAACACAGGCAAATTTGTCTGCATTTTTATGCTTTTTTAGCTCTGATTTACTTTTTTAAAATACCGTATTCTATCATGAATAAGCACCTATTATGAATAAGCACCTCCTATAAGTAAAATTTTTAATTAAGAATAAGCACTCTATAGATCGGAATCAGAAAAATTCTGAAATACAGTACCTACTATAAATTCTATTATACAGATATCAGAGGCTTTTGCCTAGACCGGATATTTATAGTTGATTTAGATCGATCGATTGATTAATAACGATAAAAATTTTTTAAATTCAAAAATTTTATTAGCATACAAAACATACAAAGCATACATACACTTATCACTACATATATATTATATTTTATATATTTATATATATATGCGTATATATATATATTTAGCACGTACGTATTACCTTTAATCAAGAGTATGTACCTATGTACATATGTATAATTTTCTTTTTGCTTCAACAAACTGCTTCTTACATTGTCACTAAATAGTATACTAAATTAAATTTACTTATTCTTATTACATTATATACTGCTTAATCTTCTAAACCAACACCAATTTATACTTTCGCAAGACTGCAAGAGGTAAAATAAATTTATATTTCTATGCTTAATTTCTTATTTATAAACTATTAGATCTGTTTTTTTTTGGTCTTTCTTTCTAATTATAATATGTCTTTTTCTTTCTAATTACAATGCATCATTCTTATTTTTATATTTATATTCTAGCACAATAGAATACTCATCATTTTAGTTTCATTTTCTCTGATTAAATAACTTCTTTCAGCATTTATGTAAGGTACACTAGATGTTGCAATATTTTCTTTATTTTTCTTGTTTTCATCTACTAGATCAATAATGCAGTCTTCTTCTTCTTCAATTTGATCCAATTCAATTAAATGGTTTTCTGAATTATCTAAGGTATTAGAAAGACCGCATTTCTTAAAAGACTTAATAATAATTTCTGTTGAAATTTCATTTCACACTTCCATAACCCAGTGACACATTATATCGTGCTCTGGTTTTTTCATATTTCCTTTCTTAGTAAATTTATGTTCCCCGACATCCATCCACATATTCTATTTTTCACGAAGCCGATCCTTAAATGGTTTGTTGATATTTATGTCCAAAGGTTGTACAACTGATGTAAGTCCACCAGGAATAACACCTAAAACGGTATTCATATCATAGCATTTATCTTTAACTGTCGTGGTGAGATGTCCTTCGAATGAATCAAATACTAATAATGATCTTTTATTTTGTCTACCAGGTCTTTGCTTCCAAACTGCTTCTAACCATTCTTTCATCAACTCTTCATCCATCTACCCATTCTCTTGCATTCTAATAACTATTCCAGGGGGATATTGGCCTCTAGGCACTCTTTTTCCTTTGAAAATAACTATCAGAGAGAGCTTTGATCCATCTACTAAAACTTCTAAAACACAGGTAAATCAGTTTTTATCATTCTTTGTTGTATGTATAGGTACTGTTTGTGCACCACGATCATTAATTGTATAAGCACCAACCATATCAAAGTAAACGGGAGTTTCATCCATGTTAGCAATACAGTTAAGTTCAAAATTATTATTTATTCTTAATTCATTAATAAAACTATGAAACTCGGTAACTTTTTCATATAAGTCTTTAGAAAGTTTTTGGGAGGTTTTTGTGCATCTGCGAAGGGAAAGATTAAACCGATTTATAAAAAGATTAAGCCATAGGTCTGATGCTTTAAAGGTATTAAGAGCATTAGGGTATGATAATTTAAACTCATTAGAGAGTAAGTTAGCTATATGAAATTTAACATCCTTAGGGTGACTGCTATTCCTCTTTGACGTTGTTCAACTATCCACTCTTTTAATGAATTTTCAGCAAGTGAATATAATGATGAAGCACTGGATCCTACTCTGCGACTTGTTTTCTTTGCGTTCTTGAACTCCTCTTCTTTCACTCGCCACCTGCTGATTTGAGTATGATCGATGTTAAAGAACCGTGCTGCAGCATGATTATTTGTTTTTTTTGCATATTCAATTGTATCGAGTTTTAGATTTACAGGATAGCTTTTATGTTTTCCTTTTAGCATTTTAACAAAATACAAAACTTACAAATTTTTTTGCGCAACTGATCGTGAAAGGTATATATATTTATTCATATCTAATTCATACCAGATACAGTGTAACAAACAACGCGTATGATTAAAGGAAAACTTCAACGAGCTGATCAAATACTCTGTACTGTGTAATATTTAAAGGTATCAAAAAAGGCACAAATATTAACACCTTTCTCTTATACTTGTTTTTTATATATTATTAGTTACTTAATTTAATTTGTTAAATCTATAAAAGGAACAACAGGAGTGTTGTAATTAGCTGAAGGGACAATAGAACTATTTAGAATTGCTAAAGTAGCAGCAGAGACACTTGAAGTAGTTGAAAAAGAAGTTGTTGGTGTCATGGGCTAATCTATGACTTTCGTCAAAGAAAAACCTAATCCAAACGGCGAGCACTTGATCACTTGGCTTATTTCGATTTCAATATTAATACTAAGGCAAGTATTTTACTTATTATTCAAATGCGCTTTATTAATTAAGAGAAATACTAAAACTAACTCAAAACACTTTCTTCTAACTATTACATTTGCTTTTTCATATATACATACTTCGGGTCACACTACTTACATCATAATTCATTCATATATGATTACACAATCATTTGACTCTTATATTACTAATGAATTACCTCATAATTCATGCGATCCCTTAATCCCCGATCAATCACTTGTCATGTGCACAAGATAATAATTGATCATTCGCTTTACTTTTATTCTCATACAAGTTAACCGCATACTGTATATCACCATGACATTGGTAATGGTAATATTTTTTTTGTTTGTTAAACGGTTGCT